ATACAGGACTTTCTTGACTCTATTAGGGGTGCCCATAGCTCTGCAGGCCCAGGAGGGTGGGATGCTCTTACAGCCCTGCCTGATCCCACAAGAGCCTCTTCTCTCCTTGGCCCTGGGATCCCAGCATGCTCAATCAAAACGTGTCGCATACTGGATAATGGGGTAATTATTTGAAATGTTACAATTAAAATACTATAGTTATATTTAGTTATAATTAAAGCATTATAATAATTAGTATATTAGTATTACTATACCATTACATACTAAATATTATAATTAGTGTAATAATGGTATTATTCACAATAATCCTCCAGAATCCATGCCAGAACTGTGAGGAGGGCAGGGCAGAAATTGGGGAAGGTCTTGAGCTGGAAAACAGAACCCACAAGGCTTTCTCTCAAAGAGGCCAGAATGATCAGGTGCTCTCAGAAGCCAACCGCACCTCACACTCTACAGCTCAGCCAAGTTCTGGGTGACATGGGCTCCTGGAGGCAGCCCTGGGCATCTAATCCTAGATAAGAAACCACAGAATTATAGAAATGGAGACCCTCCGTTTGGTGGTTTTAAACCCTAGATGTGAATATTAAAATCACCAGGGGAACCCCCATATGCCACTGGTGGGAATACAAAATGGTCCAGCTGCTTTCGGGAAACACCTGGCAGTTCTCAAAGAAGTTAAACATACAGTGACCATATGACCCAGCAATTCCACTCCCAGGTATATACCCAAGAGGAATGAACACATATCCATGCAAAAACCTGTCCATGGATATTCGTAGCAGCATTAAACATGACGGCCAAAAGGCAGAAACAACCCAAATGTCCATCAACTGACGAATGGATAAATAAAATGTAGTATAGTCACACAATGAAATATTATTTGGCCATAAAATGGAATGAACTATTGATCCATGCTATGACATAACAGAACCCTGAAAACATTATGCTGAGTGAAAGAAGCCAGACACAAAAGGCCAGGTGTCGTATTATTCCATTTACACGAAGTGTTCAGAATAGGCAAAGCCATAGAGACAGAAAGTAGATTAGTGGTTACCTAGGACTGGGGAGGATTGTGTGTGGGGGGGAACAGGGAGTAACTGCTAATGATACAGGGTCTCTTTAGGGGAGGTGAAAATGTTCTAAAATTAGATCGTAGTGATGGTTGTACAACTTAGCGAAAACGCTAAAAACCACTGAGCGGTATAATTTAAACTGGTGAATTGTATGATTATTAATTTAGATCTTTATAAAATTGATTTTTAAAAATTGCCAGAGAAGATTTTGAAAAATATCAGGGTCTAGCCCCTACCCCAGACCAATTACGTCATCATCTATCTCTAAATCCGAATGTGCAGCCAGGACCGAGAACCACTGTCCTGGTCCAACGTCTTCATTTTGCATATGGGGCATCGGGGTTCACTGGGGGAACGAGGTGACCGGGTCACACCGTGGGTAAGTAGCTGAGCCTGGGACACAATCCAGGACTACTGCCTCTCTGCTTGCTGCCCATCTGCTACATCTTCCCATCTGTCTTGGCTTCTATTTAAGGCAGCAAATGCACTCATCGGGAAAATCCTAAGACCTCCTTAGAACCTCACTGCCTGAGACAACCTTATGTATACATCTTGCCTTCCCAACGACACAGTAAGGTCTGGAGGAACAGAGACTGTCATGTCACATGTCTTCATATCCTCCACTGTGCTAAGCACACAGCAGGCGTTCAATGAATACTGGTTAGATAAAAATTAAGTATCCACGCATTCGATAACTATTTGAGTGCTAAGTCTTGTGCCTAGCACTGTGGTAGGCATGGGGGGTTGTCCTTGCCCTCAAGGAGCTCGCTGCTGAGTAACAAGTCCAAGGCAGTATGACAGGTGCTTTGATAAGTGTTAGGTGAGGAGGGCCACCTGAGGTAGCCTAGGGAAGAGC